AACAGTGTAGGAGGGTTCCCCTTGCTCCGCATCCCCGCCAACATCTGTCGTTTCCTGACTTGTTAATTTTCACCATTCTGACTGGTGTGAGGTCAGCTCACCTGTCATTTTAACGAATAATGTTTATGAAAGAAATCCTGTACTACTCTATTACTACCAAAAAATGAAAATCAGAATCACTTGCCAGAAATAGATGGAAATGACATAAATGAATACTTAACTTCTAACTAGATGTTGTTCCTTCCTACAGGCTCTGAACCCAAGGCCAGCTTTGGTTTGTGAAACTGCGATTGGCAACTAGGGAGGTGTGTTGAAGGGTCTGTAGGGTCTGATTGAGATTTTCTCTTTGACTGATCAGAAGGTTGAAAAATAGAAAAAGGAATGTTTTTCTCACCAAGTGACTCAATATTATTTCACGGAGTCTCCGTGCATTGCCTAAAAGCATCTCAAGAAACACTGGTCCTTTGTGAAGCCTGAGCATCCTGTAGCTACAGCCCAGAGGTCATTGCCTTTTCCAGAAGCTGTCGCTGACCACCTGGCTTCTCTCTTCTCACCTTCAGCTCTTAGCATCTCCTACCTGGAATGACCGGTTATCCTTCCTTTATTCCATATGTGTTGGGATCTTACTTGGACGAGACATGGTGCTGGGCACTGGGACAAGTACAAGATGAACAATGGAGCAAAGTGCAAAGCCAGAGGGAGAGAACACAGGAGGGCTTCAAGAAGGAGGGGGCACAGAGATGGGTCACCAAAGATGAGTAGGAGTCTCTGGGTAGAAAAGATGGAGGGATATTTGAATTGGAGCAAACTGGAAGCTCTGAGCATTATCTGAGGTTTGAAGGGCATTCGGGACGATTGCAGGATTGGGTTAGGGGGTCTGGGCAATGACAGCAGATGGGGCTGGAATGGAAAGATCGGTATGGGCCTTGAGTGCCAGGAAGGTGGACCTTATCTTGGAGGTGAAGGGATGCCTGGAGTGATGGGGTTGCACCTGGGTGTGGAAAGACCACTCTGGCTGCTGTGTGAAGGAGGAGTCAGGCCTGAGGGAGGCAGGGAGAGCAGCTACGAGCCGATGGCTCGTAAAGATGCAGGTGAGGGCAGAGTCCAGAGGGCTGCTGCGGTTGAATGATCAGAGGCAGTCAAACTGTTTCTCGAGCACTTCTCATGCGTCTCTTCCTAGGAGATGAACATACCATTAACATCATCTTTTTACAGAGGAAGGAACAGAGGCACTGAGTACTTACATAACTTGCCAAAGTCACACAGCTTGTGAGCGGGGAGCTGGGGTTGACTCAGGTAGTCTGGCACCAGAGCCCCCTGACTTCCTTACCTCTGTCTTCTGGCCTTGCTCACCAGAACATACTTCTGACTTTCTGCCCAGAGCAGGGGGCTTGCAAATTCCAGGAGGGCTGGAAAAGCCACACATCTCTGGATCCCCCTCCCAGGGCTCAGTAAGGGCTAGGCAGTCAACCAAGGTCAATTCCATACCCACTGCTGGGCCCTGCTGAAGGACCAGGACAGTCGAGCCTCTTGCCTTCCTGCTCAAAGGTCAGCCAAAATCAGCACCACCTTATTTCTCCTGTGTCCTTTGTGTGAGCCCTGCTTGCCGTGTCTGAGCGCCGGTGGGCATGTTGCTTTGTCTCAGCCTCTCTGCCATGCCATTGTCTCCTTCATCAGACTGGAGTCTCTGAGAGCAAGGACTGGGCTCCCCATCAGACTGGGGCTCTGCGAGGGAGGGGGCTGGGCTCCTCACTCTACTGGCAGCTCTCTGTGGGCAGGGGCTCCCCCGTCCTCTATGGTAACTCCTTGGTACCCCAGTCCTAGCTCCCCCACAGTGGGCACAAGGTGGGAGCAGGGAGGGGGACAGATGGTGTTAATCATCAATGGGGGAGGTGACTCCACTCCTGGGAGTTTCTATCCCAGAGGGGCTAAGTCTCAGACTGGCAGTCGGGCCAGCTAGAGACCAAACTCTAGGATCTAGGTCACCCCCTTGGCAGCAGAGCTGATTTATGGTGCCCCTGACAGCCTAATATCACTAAATTACCCCACACAATGGAGAAAGGCTGGGCTGCCTCTGGGCAGTCACCAAAGGACGCTGAGCCCGGGGCAGCCCTGCCGCCTCCCGATCCCAGACCTCCTTCAGGTCTGTTGGGGGGACGCTGGTGCAGACAGAGGGCACACCTAGGCGTGCCACCTTCAGCTGGGGGTATAAGTAGGAAGCCTTGGGGATGGCTCTGTACCCTGCACTCGGGAGCTAGCAACACTCTGACGACTGCTTCCTAGCCCACGAGCGGCAGCAGGGCCAGCCATGAGTTGCAGACAGTTCACGTCCTCCCCGTGGGGCCGCAACAGCTCTGGGGGCAGTGGGGGCAGCATGATGTCCTCGTTCAGCGGCATGAGCTGCTCAGGGGCTGGTGGAGGAGGGGGCAGATTCAGCTCTTCCAGTAGCTACGGAGCAGGGAGCTCTGGGGCCTGTGGGAGGGGAGGTGGTGGCAGTTTCGGCTCCAGGTACGGCAGAGGATCTGGGGGTGGTTTTAGTGCTGGTAGCTTTGGTGGACGTTCTAGGGGTTTCAGTGGTGGCTCTGGAGGATGCTTTGGAGGTGGATCTGGAGGAGGCTTTGGGGGCTCTGGGGGCTTTGGTGGTAGTTCTGGAGGAGGCTTTGGGGGTGGTTCTGGAGGAGGCTTTGGTGGTGGTTTTGGAGGAGGCTTTGGGGGGTCTGGGGGCTTTGGCAGTGGCTTTGACAGTGGTGCTGGTGGTATTCTGGGCGCTGATGAGAAGACCACCATGCAGGACCTCAATTTCCGGCTGGCCTCCTACTTGGATAAAGTGCAGGCACTGGAGAATGCCAACAAGGAACTGGAGAATAAGATCCGAGAATGGTATGACAAGCAGGGGCCCAGGGCCTTCCATAGGGATTACTCATCTTACTATTACACTATCGAAGACCTCAAGAACCAGGTAAGTGGGGAAATTCTGCTCCTTCTCTCCTGGTCTCTTTGTGTCTCTCTCTCACACTCACACACACATACACACACACACACTCACATGCCTTATCTTCCAAAAATGTCAGATGTTAGACTCTAAGCTTAGATAATAGTCAGGGGATCCATTTTTCGGAAACATTATACTTTCATCAGAAGCAAACTGTGTTTGGTTCTTGATGGCACCAGGGCTGGGACTTTGGCCTGTGCTCTGGGCTTTCATCACCATGTTCCTAACTTTCAGAGTCTGAGCAGAGCAGAGCAGAGCAGAGGCTTAGATTAACATGGGTGAGCCTGGGACTGAATGTGGGGGGGTCTCCTCTTGGCCTGGTCCCAGGATGGGAATGAAGAACCAGTGTGGAGGGAGCAGAGAGATGGAGGCACTCCCCGGAGAGCCAGTGATGCAGTTCTGGGTCTGCCATCAATTCACTGTGTGATCTTGGGAGACCTGATGCCTCTCTGCACCTGTTGTCCTGTGCATTTAATGCAGAAGATGGGCAGACCAGCTCTTAGGTCCCTGTTGGTTTGAAACTTCTGTAATCCAATGAAAAGAGGTAAGAGTGCTACTGCCCTAAACAGGTAGATCATATGGCTCAGGAGAGGAGAAAATCTGTGCCTGTCTCTCCTCTCACTCCCTAAGAATTGAGAGCTTTCTAGTTTGGAAAATTAGAAGCTGTGTTTCTTCCTTCCTACTTCTCCTGGGCTTCTATAGAGGCCTGTCTTGATATTTCCAGGTACACATACTAGTTGTTTAGGTGATGAACAGGGTCTAGAACTCTGGGGATGGAAGTAGTCTATCCACTCTTCCATTCCTCCCACATGCTCCCCCCATCTACCCATCCTCCCAGCATCCATCCATCTATCTACTCATCCATCCATCCACATGTCCATCTATCCATTTATTTATTCACTCAAGTTAGTGAATGACTACACTCAATGTTGCCCTTGGCAGACATGGTGATGTACCAGACTTGGTCTCTGTCTTGAGGAGTTCACGGTCTAGCTAATTTGCTGTTCCCACCTGTTCCCCTTGCCTTTACAACTTCTGATAAACAGCCTTAGATATCCTGTTTCTTCTACCCCAAACCTCTTCGATCTCTTTATCCATGTGCAATCTTAGCTATCCTTCAGGGACCAATTTAGTTGTGACCTCCTCCCTGAAGTCTTTCTTGATCTCTTATAGCCATATGTCATCTCTCCTTTCCTTGATCTCTTCTATGATAATTTTGGATGTGGTAGTTGACTGTGGGCTCCTTGAATAGCAATATCTCATTGATCTCTAAACTCCACAGTGTCTTTTGTAGTAAATCTTCAAATATTTGTTGAATGAATGAATTAATGCCACACTGGACATCTTTGCTGAAGCCTATGAGGGGTCTGTGCCTTGTAGCAGCTGTTGGAAGCTCCTCCTACCTCTTAAGCATCTTCCTGGATGGGGGTCCCATCTCTTATGGCTTTGCCTGGCTTCTTGCCCTCCCAGCAGGGAGTCATGGCAGGGAAGTGTGGGTTCCATGCCATCTCCTCTTTTTTTTTTTTTTTAGATTGTGAACATCACAGTGAACAGCAGTAAGACTCTCCTGGATCTTGACAACACTCGCATGACATTGGATGACTTCAGGATGAAGTGAGTCCTGCTCCCACTCCCTCTGCTGTCATAAATCTTTCTCTACCCCCTAGTGCTCTGAAGGTCCCAATAGGAACTGGTGCCCTCTTGCTCATTTCCTACCTGTGGATGGTCTGCAGGTATGAGATGGAGAACAGCCTGCGACAAGGAGTGGATGCTGATATCAATGGCTTGCGGAAGGTGCTAGATGATCTGACCATGCAAAAGTCTGACCTGGAGATGCAGTATGAGTCTCTGCGGGAGGAACTGATTGCCCTCAAGAAGAATCATGATGAGGTACGGTCCTGGCTACTTGTGGCTTATTGAGGAGAAAGAGGAACAGAAGTGCAGAGACAATGAGGGGACAGCTATGGGGCACTGCTTGGGAGACACCCTCTCCGTGACTTTTGAGGACACTCTCAGTGCCTCCTTTGCAGTGCCTATGGTGGTGGTTGGGCTTTGCCCTCACAGCTGTGCCTCTTTTTTTGTACCTCTGGGGAGGGAGAGGGGGAGGGCTAAAAGTTGGTGGAGAGGATCCCACCTCTTGACTTCACATCTCCTTTGTTCCTGGCAGGAGATGAACCAGCTGACTGGGCAGAACTCTGGAAATGTCAGTGTGGAGATAAATGCTGCTCCTGGCAAAGATCTCACCAAGATCCTCAATGACATGCGTGAGGAGTATGAGCGGATCAGTGCTAAGAACCGTAGGAACATTGAGGAGCAATATGAGACTCAGGTGCGCAGAGTGGGCTGCCCATTCAAACTTCTCTCTCTCTCCCATGGATCCCTCCACTCCTCCACCCCATCTCTCCATTCTCCCACCCCTCTATCTCTTAGTCCAGCTATCATCTGCCTATCTTCATTCATTAAACCGCAAACACAATTATTGAGTAGCTTGTCAGTACCAGGTTTTATGTGAAGTCCTGATGTCTCAGAGATGAGCCAAATAAGACTGCTGCCCTCAAGAAGCTCACAGTTTATTACATATGTGAACAAAGAGATCACGAACAACTCATGTAAGGCTATGTGCCATCAGAATCTAGTAGAGGTACCTGGTGTGCCTCTCATGCCACACTGAGCTCTCTGATGACTCCCTTCCTCCTTGGGCCTCCAGTGCCTAGCATGGACCCGGACACATGAGGGCATATTTGTAGTGTGTGTGTGTATGTGTGTGTTTGGGGTCAGTTTGAAGTAAGGTTAGATAGGTGGTTTGGGGACAAGTGTGAAGAGTCTTGAAGCCTTGCTGAGAGGGAATGTTAAGTTGAGAAGATTGGATTACCTTGGCTAACTAGCAGACCCAGAACTCAGGATGACTTGTCTTTGTTTTTGGTTCACTCTTGGCCCCGGAGGCAAATGTCCTGATGAGTGGGGCAGAGCCTTGCCCTTGGTACTCTCTGATCCAGCCTGGTTCTCATTGAGCTCTTGGGTTTTCAGATGAGCCAGATGGAGCAGGAGGTGATGAATAGTGGCCGGGAGATGAAGTCCAACCACAAGGAGGTGACCCAGCTCCGGCACAGCATCCAGGAGATGGAGATTGAGCTGCAGTCTCAGCTCAGCAGGGTTGGTAGTTCTGCTCTAGATCCTCTGCCAGAGTGAGGCACTGAAGGCTTGGCATGATCACTGGAGTGGGAAGGGGAGGAGCTATGATGTAGCATCCCTCTTATAGCCTCCTCCTGCCTCCTAGAAATCAGCCCTGGAGAAGTCCTTGGAAGACACCAAGAACCGCTACTGTGGCCAGCTGCAGCAGTTGCAGGAGCAGATCAGTAACCTCGAGGGCCAGATCACTGAGATCCGGGAAGAGATTGAATGCCAGAATCAGGAATACAGCCTTCTGCTCAACATCAAGACACGGCTGGAGCAGGAAATTAAGACCTACCACAGCCTCCTTGAGGGTTGCCAGGAGGACTTGTAGGTTCCCCAGACTCTGTGGAATCCCTAGGAATTTCTAAGCTCCTGACACTACATCTGTCCCTCTGGATAGAGGCAGCTGGGGAAGTTCCTGTACACAAGGGTCAGATGGGTTGAGGACTTCCTCATACTGTAGGGGAACCTCAAGGCATTTGGGCTTTGGGAAAGGAGGTTGGTAACAATGAGAGAAGGGACTAGTCGTTGCTCCAGGGAGAGGGAGGCTCTCCCTTCAAGCTTGGTGCCAGTCCAGCCTGTCCTTTACCTTGCAGAAAGAAACCTTAGGAAGATTCACATTTGGGTCCTGACTCTGTCCAGGTCCATCCTTGAATATATATGTGGGGTCACTAATTTTTCTCTCTGTGTTATCTTTCCTTCTCAGTGAATCTCATGAATCTGGACGAAGTCACTTTGGAGGTGGCAGAAGTAGATATAAAGGTGGAAGTGGAGGCAGTTACGGAAGAGGATCCTGGGGAGGAAGTGGAGGCAGCTATGGTGGAGGAAGTAGTTTTGGAGGAAGAACTGGAGGCAGCCACGGAGGAGGAAGTGGTGGCAGCTACGGAGGAGGGAGTGGAGGCAGCTATGGTGGAGGAAGTAGTTTTGGAGGAAGAACTGGAGGCAGCCACGGAGGAGGAAGTGGTGGCAGCTACGGAGGAGGGAGTGGAGGCAGCTATGGTGGAGGAAGTAGTTCTGGAGGAGGACGTGGTGGTGGCTATGAAGAAGGAAGTGGGTCCAAAGGAGGAAGTGGAAGACCATCTCAGTCCCAGTCCTCTTCCTCCAAATCTGGTGAATGTGATGATAAACAAGGTAAGGGACAGCTCTAGCTTGTGGGGTCGGGGAGGCACAAGTGTTAAGCTGTCAAGGTACCACCCCTTTTTGAGTATCTTTGAGTTTTCTGGGGAATGCATATTCTGAACAGAACTAGATTTGGGGGAGGTCTCTAGTGAGGGGTCATACACTTGCCCATGTTTCTGATTATCATTAATTTTGACAGAGCTTTGGGTGAGGCTAGGACCAAATCTACACATGTCCTGAGTCTCAATAGCATAGGAAATGGGTTGGAAATTGTGCATTATCTTATATATTTCCCACCACACCCTATAAGGTGGGTATTGTTATACCCCTTTTAGAGATAAGGAAGATGAGGTTCAGAGAAGATATGTAGCTTATTCAAGGTCATACAACTAATAAATGAGGGACTTAGCTTTATGGGTCTCCACAGCCAATACTTTTAATCATCATGAGGATGGGGAGACCTGGATCAGCAACAGTTCAGGTAGAAAAGAGGTTCAGGTATTGTAGTCAGTGGTTGGCTCATACAAGTCAGTTATATGGTGCAACCATCTAAAGGGACATATACTGAACATAATAATCTAAATGTAGAAGAGTCACACAGTGAAGTGGTCTCCAGGTCAGAGAAAGTTTCCCCTTATGCATGTTGAATTCCATAAAATAAAAATTTAATATGAAATTGTACTAAAAGCCTGGGTAACACAACTGGGAATGTTTAGCTCAGAGAAGCCTTGAGGTGCATGGGAGCTATCCTTCTCTAGGGTGTCTGGTGTGGTTTTGTGTGTTAAGTGGCACTGCAGGGCCATGGATGTATGGGCTGGGGCCACCCTTGCCTCAATATCCAAGAATTTTACTAATATACCTGTTGAGTGGAGGAGGGGCCAGGCTCATGAGCCTTCATCCTCAGAAATGGAAGAGTATCGGGGCACCTGGGTGGCTCAGTCAGTTAAGTGTCTGCCTTTGGCTCAGGTCATGGTCTCAGGGTCCTGAGATTGAGCCCCACATTGGGATCCCTGCTCAGTGGGGGCCTGTTTCTCCCTCTCCCTCTGCTACTCTCCCTGCTTATGCTCTCTCTCTTTCTGTCAAATAAATAAATTAAATCTTAAAAAAAAAAAAGGAAAGAAATGGGAGAGTATATGTTAGGGCTGCTGCAGGAGAGCTTTAAGAATTAGATGGGGGCCACTGGGACCCCAGGGTCCTTCTAGCTCTTTGAGCTCCAGTCTCCTTGCTCCCAGTGTGCCCATCTTTCTTTAAGTCCCAGTCTTTCTTTCTCCTGTTCTGAGTTCTCTCTCCATACTCTTACCTCTGTTCCATCTCTCCACAGGCTACCAGAATTGATACTAGAGCTCCTGTAAACTCTCCTGGCCCTGCCCTAGCCGAGTGTCCTCCAGACAGGCAGTCCCCCAACGAATCCTGCTCATTGTCTTCTGGCATCAGGAATAGCTGGCAACGAGCCCCAGAGCTCATTTGGGACTGGGCTGAGTGGCATGTATGCCTCTGGCTGCCCATTGACTCCCTCCCTTGGGAAGGTTGGGGAGACGTCTCTTCCACTGTCTGGTCTGGGGGTGACCCCACTCCCTGCCTGATCTCATGTTCCTAATAAAGCTTTCCTACTGCAAATAAAACTTGGACTTTGACCCATTTGTTCTTTGGGATTAAGAAGGAACAGAAAGGAGATGAAGGGAGAACCAACTGAGTGTTGGTTAGGTTTTCTATCAGTTGACTTTTGCTTGTAACAAAGCAATCCATAATTTAGTGAATTCAAATGACAACCATTTATTTAGCTCATTATTTTGCAGTTGGCAGTTTAGACTGGGCAGTTCTATTTTCCTTTGTGCATCTGTGGTCAGCTGCAAATTGGCTAGTGGCTCTGCCTCTGGGGCTTGGCTACATGCTGTTTGGGGGTGCTGGGGGTGAATGAGACACATGACTCTCATCCTCCAGCCGGCTAGCTCAAGCAAGTGTCCAAAGAGAGTTGAGTGGGAGACGCAAGACCTCTTGAGGCTTAGGCTCTGAGTAATCACTTCTGCTGCATCTTACTGTCCAAAGCAAGTCCCAACTTTGGCCGGATTCAAGAGCAGGGGAAAAAGACTCTTCTTGAAGGTGGGAGCTACAAAGTCACATGGCAAGGACATGGATATAGGGAGGGCCATAACTGAGGCCAGTTTGTGCAAACTGTCTGCCATAGTCTATTAGCAGGTCATGTGTTAGGGACAGAGGGAAACAGGACAAAAACAATGTGGTTTTGCTTTGGAAGATTTCATAGATGGTAAAAAATATAACACAAATAAAGTGTTCCAATGCGCAGTAAGGAATATTCCACAAGACAGCTGCCAACAATGTTCTTCAAGGATTCTGACTGGCCTGATACAAAACTCCTTGCCCTAACTAGGGATAAACGGCCCCTCAGCCTATGTTCCAGATATTACAGCTGCTTATCAAACCTTCCCAAAGCTTGGAGGCTTAAAAGAACGACGTTGGTTTGGGGGCTTGGTGGGGACAGCTCACTTCTTATCCACTTGTTGTCACTGTGGCTCACAGGCTCGGGGCTGGAGTCATTTGAAGTCTTGCTTGTATGTCTGGCCCCTGGGCTGGAAAAACTCAAATGTGGGGGCTGGCCTGCAGGGGCTTCTTAGCAGCTCTGTATGGAGATTCTCAATGTGATCCCTCCAGCAGGGCAGCTTCAGGGTAGCCATACTTCTTATATGCTAGAGCCAGGAAGAAACTGTTTTGCTTTACTATCTAGATTTGGAAGTCAGGCCGTGTCCCTTCTGCTGTAGTCAATGGGCCTGCTTAGATCCAAGAGAGGAAGCACTGAGCTTGCAGTGGGAAGGATTCAAAGATGACTCAGTTATTCAGTCAAACACCAATCTAGGTACTACTGTGAAGGGATTTTGGAGAAATAATTAAGGTCTCTAATGTGTTGACTTTAAGATAGGGAGATTACCTGGTGGGCCTGACATAATCACATAAGCGCTTTAAAAGAAAAGAGTTTTCTTTGGCTGGTCATAGAAGAAGAAGTCTGAGATTTGAAGTGCAAGATTTTGATATGCCACTGCTGGCTTGAAGATGAAAGGTGCATGTGGCAAGAAATGTGGGTGAGCTTGAGCTCTAGGAGCTGAAAGCCACCAAGAAAAAGGGGATCTCAGCTCTCTAGTTGCAAGAACTGAACTTCTTCAAGAACAAGAAAGAGTTTGGAAGCAGATTTCTCACCTGAGTCTCCAGATGAGAACTCAGACTGGTCGACACCTTGATTTCAGCCTTGTGATACCCTTCATAGAGAACCCTTGCAGAGCTGTGAGCTAATACATGGGTGCTGCTTTAAGCTTCTATATTTGCAGTAATTTGTTAAGCAGAAATAGAAAACAAGTACAAACCCCATCTCAAGATGGAGGAGTGTTAATGTCACGTTGAAGATTAGCATGTGGAATGGGATACATTGATCTCTGGAAAACAATTTGCCATAGATTGGCCAAATTATTGGGGGGAGAGGTTGCATAAAGGTAAACGTAGGACAGGAGTGGCACAGAAGCTCAGGAAAACTCAAGATCCAGGGATTTATGAAGATGGAAGCTGAATGATGTCTCTGGGGCCAAGATGGCTCTAGTAGGTTGCTGGAGCAGTGAGAGTTTTGGATTCTTTTTTTTTTTTTTTAAAGTTTTTATTTATTTGAGAGAAAGAGAATGAGAGATAGAGAGCACGAGAGGGAAGAGGGTCAGAGGGAGAAGCAGACTCCCCGCTGAGCAGGGTGGCCGATGTGGGACTCGATCCCGGGACTCCAGGATCATGACCTGAGCTGAAGGCAGTCGCTTAACCAACTGAGCCACCCAGGCGCCCAGAGTTTTTGATTCTTTCACTAGTGCTACATCCCTTACTATGCAACAGGTTACTCTGTTCCCTGGTTCTCCTCCTGCTACTAGCTGTCTTCTCTTACCACTTTATATCTTCCCTCTACCTCTACTTGGAGAACTGCCCATCTTGAGTCTAAGGCTCCCCTAGAGAGAAGCTAGAAACTTGCTTTCCCAACCTCCCTTGCAGCAGAGGCATGAACATGTGACACAGCTCTGCCAATCAGGTGCTCCTACACAGGACTGATTTGAATGTGAAGGAAGCCTTGGGTGGAATCTAATATGGCATGAACAGAGCTGGGGTAGAGACCCACAGTTTACTGAGGCCACAGAAATGGTGGCTCTGCAGAGATATGCAGTGCCCAACATCAACAGTTTGAGCTACAATTCTGTACCCAGTAGCAATGGCAGTGGTGTCTTCTTGACACAATCCTTTAGAGTGATTAAGTAAATTAAAACTCACATGGTGCAGAACCTCATTTCCCAGGCTTCTTTGCTGGGAAGAAGCAAAGAAGGCTGGGAAATGTAGTTTTTGGATGTACCTGGGAAAGAATAGTAATCAAAACGACAGATATAACATATATCCACATAAGCTTCCGGTCTAACTGGTAAACCACAGTGTTGTTATGCTAACCTCCAATTTTCAAAGATTAGAGTTAGTGTGGAGTCAGTGTCCAATAATCCATGAAGGTCTAGGTATTTCTCTTCCCCCAGTATATAGTTACTCTTGTAAATTCCCACAGGTTCCTATGGGGAAGATTGGAGGTAGACATACACTATGTGCTTATGATGTTATTGCAAAGTCCTTCCTCAAGGATACCTGGACTTCCCTTCATTCAAAGTCCTCTACATCTCTGAGCTAGTTCTGGTTTGGGGATTAGATGAGTCTGTCATTCTCTATCATGGGGCTTGAGACAGGCCTCTTTTTGACCTAAAGTGTTCTTTTTGGAGTGCGGGATAGGGAATTGGGGCACATATGGAAGACCGACTCGCTCATATCAGCCCCACATCCTTCTAGTGAGCATTCCTGTACTCTAAAGGCGGATTATCTTAGACCTAGCAATTTAGATGCAATTTAGATTTTCCCAGTCACTTACGCTTCTGTGGGACATGAGTCGAGTGGGGAGAGGTCTAGAGCGGGGAATGTTTTTGCTGGTATAGATCTACTAGGTACTATATGGTCCTGGGGTCAACAGATCTGGTTCTGGCTTACAGATTCCCAAGCTTTCTGCTTGTGAGAGACCAGGAGTTCCCTTGGGGGCTGGTTCTGTGGTGTTAATCTGGAAGCTATTCCTAGATGCCCAATCTAGAGTCTGTTCTTCCAGTCTTCTTATGATTTTGTAAGCACGTAATGCTCTGTATTAAATTCCTTTCTGTTAAAAAAGTGAGGTTTGTTTCTGTTATTTAAAATGAAATCCTGATTGAATCAGGACCTTGGTGGGCTGCTGATATATTTTGGTTTCATTTTTTTAATTTATTTTTTTCCTAAAGATTTTATTTATTTATTTTACAGAGAGAGTGAGACAGCGAGAGAGGGAACACAAGCAGGGGGAGTGGGAGAGGGAGAAGCAGGCTTCCTGCTGAGCAGGGAGCCCAATGCGGGGCTCCATCCCAGGACCCTGGGATTATGACCTGAGCTGAAGGCAGATGCTTAACCGACTGAGCCACCCAGGCGCCCCTATATTTTGGTTTTAGAGACCCATGACCAACTGGCCATAATAATCATTGATCCCTACAGATTTTATCATTCTACCTACTTTTCTAGCCCTCCAGCATTAAAATGCCTGTACTTGTCCTCTGACATGTAGAATCTCATTGTTATTGAAATAGGGATTCTCATTCAGTGGTAGCATCTCTCACCCACATCCTCATAGAACACTGCTACTGTGCTTTTCAGAGATGCTGTGTTCCCTCTTGTCTAGGTATTTCTTAATTGCCAGAATCTACACAGTGTCTTCTGAGCTCTCATAGTTGGAGAATCGTTGAATGGGTTCCATATGATAACTCCACTCCAACATTCCCATTTCCTTAACTGGTTGCATTCCTTCTTTACTACAACAGGAATTTTCTGGAAACTCAATTTTATTTTGTATAAGCCACACTGAGTTCAGTGTCTGCCACTCAACTGAGCAAATATTTAGACCCACTCCCAGATACTCAAGCTAGTAGCTAGCTGAACTGTGACTCTCTGGTGAATGCCTCCATATTGATTAATTCAGCCTGATCAAAAATTAGAATTAATTCTCAAACCCAGTCTTCTCATTTCTGCTGATACAGATTAGCAACATCTTGAAATTCTCCTGGTGGGTAAGCCTTTCTCTCTGAGCTTTGACTTTCTAATGTACCTTCTCTTCCAGAGATCTGACTTGTTTATAATTTTGGAGGCAGTAAAGGGTGGTAAGGTGGAGTGTGAGGATAATTTGGAGTTTGGGGTATTGTAAGTCAATGAAATCCTTGCATATATTTCCATTCCAATTTTGTGAGTGCCCC